ACCCTTGGTTCCCCATGGGACCACTGAGTCATGGGTTCTTCTGTGTTGTTATTGTTTGCTGGAAAGACCCGATGCCCTTTCAAGATTTCTTCAATTTTAGAGTTAGAAAAACCAGTTCCACTAGCAAAATTTGTATGCTAAATCCCTTTTGTTTTGAACCAGTGAGGTACGAAGTCAAGAAATACATGGATTGACTCAAGGAAAACAGAATCATAGTGCTCTTCTTTTGCAAGAATAGTCTTTTTTCTAAGTCTATTTCATCACTTTGTGGTTTCTTCTATCTTCTTTCGCTCTGTTCTCCTGTTGACCAGGAGAACTGTCTTGAGCCCCCTTTCTGGTCTGCAGCAGCACACCCAGCCCACCACAGTCATCTCTGTCCTAAGGCATAATGGGAGGCAGCAAAAGAATTCTAGACTCGGCGGCCAAATTCAGGCGTCAAATTCTAGTTCCACCACTAGTTTTGCAATCTTGGGTAGGACACCTAAACTCATTCTCTCCCTCCTTGCCCTTCCATTTTAAACTTTTAAATAATTTTATCAAAATAACGTATTTTATCAAATGCATACATAGGTAACGTATAAAATACAATAGAAGTTACTTTTACTGGCCTCTTAAGTGATTTGCCTGATTAAGCAACTCTCTCCATTCCCTCAATATATCCTACCAACTGATGCTGACAGCCAGCTCAGGACCGGATGCCCTCTAGCCCTCCAGTAAACTCCTGATCCCTCCTGTGAAGATGTATGTGGACCAAGAGACAGTGGTGTTTGTCCCCAGATCTGCTGTGCCAGTTTTACTCATTCATATAATTATTCAATGATAATTATGTAACCAGTGACATATGGGTGTGTAAAAGAGAATTGCTATGTCTATTAAAATGTTTTGTAAAGACTCAATAAAGTTGAGTTACTAAAAATGAAAGGCTATAGGTCAGGTGCAGTGGCTCACACCTGTAATCCCAGCACTTTGGGAGGCCGAGGCGGGAGGATCACGAGGTCAAGAGTTCAAGACTAGCCTGACCAACATGGTGAAAATCCATCTCTACTAAAAATACAAAAATTAACTGGACATGGTGGCACAAGCCTGTAATCCCAGCTACTCAGGAGGCTGAGGCAGGAGAATCGCTTGAACCCGAGAGGCAGAGGTTGCAGTGGGCAGAGGTTGCAGTGAGCCGAGATCTTGCTACTGCACTCCTGCCTGGGCGACAGAGCAAGACTCTGCCTCAAAAAAATACAAAATAAAATAAAATAAAGGTTATAGAATTATATGTGAGCAAGATAGTGGTAAAATATTGGGTAAAAACTTAAATCTAAAAGGATTCTGCTTTGTGCCTTTTTCAATCTAATGAAGCAGAAACTGAGAAATATAGATGATGATTATGGGTGTAGTTTATGTAAGAAAATGCAGAACTGGAAATATGTGGCTATATTCTGTATGTGGAAATCCTGGCAGTATTTCCAGGGGATTCTTATGATACTAAATTAGATAAGGTTCATATAACACACTTAGCAGCATGCCTGATATTTAATAAGCATTCAATCCATGTTAGCTGTTATTGTGGTTATTATTCATTTAATAATTGCGCATCCAGGCAATTTTAAAAGCAAAGATAAAACAAAAGGCAAGGTGAGACCAAATCAATATTTCAAAAGAAAATATTGGGATAAACTTTTAAACCCAGCGACCAAAGGACCTAAACTTCACTGTGATGATTTTTTTCTTTGCATCCAAATATCCGTGTGTAAAATTAAGAGGATATTGATGATCAAATATCTACAACGTTTAGCTGGAAAAACAAATCCTGGTTCATTATTGAAAATAAGGCCTTGGCATTCCAAGTGTAACCCTATTTCAATTTTAACAACAAACTGCCACATAGCCTTAGGAAGCTCTTTAACCTTTTCCTATCCTTGTATTCTCAGTTAGATAAGGATGATGACAAACAACTAAATTTATTTATCACATGGCCAGAAGAATTATTTTGAATTCTTTGAGAAAAGTACACTATGGTTGTATTTGTGTTCTCTCACTTGAGTGTGAGCTCTGCCTGGCTGAGTGCTGTGTGAGGCTCTAACCCTCAGGATAAGGATCAGTGAAATGCTAATTTTTTTAAAAATTAAATTTTCATCAAAGCTCTAGACCTATTCACTTATTACAATGTTTGTGCCAAGTTTCAACAGGTAAAACATGCTTCACCACAAAAAACAACAATGATCAGAATAAGTTATGGGATGAAAGGGAAAGATCCTATTTTATTCGATTATATGTACAACTAAATTAAGTTTTAATTCTTTTTCAATCTTGTAAAGGCAATAGAAGAACAGATATACTGGATGTGAGGTTTAAACTCATTAATTTTAGTGGCTCTGGCCGAACCCAATTAACTTCTGTTTGTGAAGCAATCCCCATTGTTGGGGTTTCAAGTTATTTTCACAGTTGACCGTGGAAGAATATGCATAGCTATTCAGTGCATGATCTTGTAGCTAGTCAGTCAGTCTGTATTGATTGTGTGGACTGAGCCCAACATCCTACATATTTATTACATACAAATATAGAGAAAAATAACAATGATTTAAAAGATATAGTTAAAGCCTTTAAAGAGCTATATACTCTATTACTATTACTGAGAGGTGGGAGAGGATACTTTTCCTTAGGAGACAATTCAAAAGATAAAAAATAAATTGTATTTATTTCCCTGTCATTTAATCGATCCTTAAAGAAATAGCTCTTTCAAAAATCTAGGTTAATTCAATATATATGCATAAGACTAAACTAGGCTCAGAGAAGTTAAAAAGAGGAACCAGACTGGATCATCCCAGTGTTCAATGAATTTGCTATAGTCGGGGAGAAAGGCATTCATATAACTAGTATACTTCCATCCATGATGTGTGGAGGGACAAACTAGATCAGGGAAGAATTACCAGTACCTGAGTGTACACTCATCGTAATGCCCTAATATCAGGTTTCCAGACACCCTTAAGAAATTGTCAGATTTGCACAACCTTCATATTGGAGCCATCATGGAGATGGAGGAAAGAGCCTGTCATGTCCACAGTTTTTAAGGAAATGACTTGATTGTTATAAGTCAGATAGCTTAAAAACAATGTCTGATGAGAACAATCTCTCATACAATCAATAAGCAACTTACCAGAATATTGTAGGATATAAAGAAGCAGACACACGTGACTTTTTGAATAACCAGTTTTTCTATATCAATTTAACTTTCTTCCTTGATTCAGTGACAGCCTACATAAATAATGATAATATGCTAGATAAAATAAATTTTGTATGGAGGAAGATTTTGAGTTCTAGTCTAAACAATATTCTTATCACCAAGCCATGACAGTGTGACCTTACCTTAATCATGCTACCATTACCTGGGTGAACGGGTAAATATAGAGTTGCAATTACCATAAAGTGGGTGGGAGCAATGCATTACATATCCAGGTCCAGCTCCTGGGGATCAGTTGTACTGAAGGACCTGTAACTTACTGATGAGCTATATGACTCATAAATACCTGCCTCCAAAATGCAAATATTACTAAATCAAGTAGAATGCACAGTACCTTACACCAGGAAGTTCATAACAAGATAGTTGAAAATGCCTTTGGATATATGCTTTAAATCATTCTAAAAACAGAATAGCATATCATTGATGCAAGTGTAAACTGGTATTTTTTTGGCACACGTGAAATTTGCTAAAAAATAATTTAAAAAACAAGTGCCGATAAGATTTTTATTTCAATTAGGGTTAGCAAAGCAACATTATAAATGAATCACACTGAGACTAGGTGATTTAAGTGGGGCAGGCTAGCAGGACGGACGATTAATCCTACCATTTCTTAAGCCACACCATCCTTTAGTACTTAGTCACGTTTTAGTCAACATATTTTGAAAGATTTTTTTTAAAAGGCATGCAGAGAGCAAAATATTACATACATATTTATAAAATATAGAATAGAATATATATTAATATATATAAGTAAATGTATTATATAATATCTATTTGATTATATTATATAAAATATATGGTATGACATAAGTATATATGTTATATGTTTATTATATATAATATATAATATATATACATATATATAAAATGTCTTTTAAGGAAAGAAATGGAACCATATTAACCCAAAAAGCCAAAAACTAAGTAGTCATATAATTACATTCTTACTGCTCTGTAAGATTGTTCTCAGAAGGAGCTGAGGCTCTCCTCTCCCCATAGGTGACTGAGCAAGAAGAAATACACTATGTTACAATAGGCCAACTTCATGTGGCAGAAACAGGCCCTTTGTAATCACCATGAAAAATCACTGGTTCAAGGAAAACCTTAAGATTTTCTTTCTTACAGCTGTTTACTACAGAATAAACTATCATTAGTTCTGGATAATTTAAATATCCATGGGGTTGCTTGCCTCAGAGCCCTCTTCTTTTGTCCTAGCTTTCCGTTCATTTACTCTTCCACGCTTCCCAAACTAAGGCATCCAATAGTGGGCCACTAATACTCAATGCCAGGAGCTGCACATGACATCTCTATCTCAGTTTCACCCGAAGACATCGAGCCCAAGTACTCAATTTTAAACAACGATTTTATTAATAAGTGAAAATATTATTGTATATTAGCACATTGATCTGTGATGGGGTGGAATGCTGAGAATCAAAGGAAATTATCTTCCTTGTGATGGTCATTTTCCAATGCTCCCCAGCCCACAGTCCCTAGCTCCATTTCCCTGTCACAGACAGCACAGGCTTAAAGCCCAGACTTTTCCATAGCAAATTTTCATGGTAGTGCCAGGTTTCCTAATAAGTGACACCAAGCTTAATCAGGCCAGAAACACAGAGGATGACACATTGTATTTCATGACCCTCTCCCTTCCCATGATTTTTCTTGTTACAAATAAAATATTAGAGACTTTGAGGCATCTTTGTGTAGAAAGTTTTATAAATGTCTTTGGATGTGATGGTAATATATGAATTTCTTTCCTCTTCTTTTTCAGGATGGGGACCAATGAAGTACTTGCAGCCTGTACCCAGAATCAGTGAGTAACTTCCTCATAGTGTTTGAGTCTTGGGTAGTTATAGGTAAGCAGAGCAAAAACTAGAATATCTGAAAACCTCAGAGTGTTGCTTTTAAGCACCTGTTCTGGTGATGATAGCCATCCCTAGAAAGCACAGCCTCGGCGGCATCGTTGGAGGCATAAAGTCTTGGAGGGTGGGGAGAAAAGCAAGCGAACCATGACCCTTGTCCTCAAGGGAATTACAAAGGAAACTAAAGGCTCTGAAGACCGATTTCAGTTACACATAGGTTGGTGTTCACCTTATTTGAAAAAGTTTACATATTTTTTAATTTTTCTTTTAAAAGTATTTAACACTTTCCTGGCAAATTGCACTATAGTCTTTTTTTAATGTCTTCCTTTATGAATAGAGTAAAACCTCATTAGTTCAGATATTGCCAATACACAATTCTTGACAATTTGATCTAGACTAAGCTGAAATTTAGCTTTGAATTGTCTGCAAGGAATGGATTTGCTAAGTGAAATGGAATATTTGTAACCCATGTAAAAAGAATACATTGTTTTTATGACCTTAGCATACAGTGGTCTTTAGGCAAAAAGATTCAGCTGTAAAATGAGGATTATTAAGGTCATGAAGTAGATGTCCCCTTAGACTTTATTAGTAGGTAATAGTATTGAAAGTAATAAAACAATGTTGCTTTCAATAAATTCTGACTTCCATAATTCAGGCTAGATCTTCCTCTCCTCCTTTCCATACTAATTGTTTTAATCTAATGAGGTTTACTATTGTGTAAAATGTGGATGAAAGCATTTAGTAATAGAAGATGATCAATTCCTATTATCTTAAAAATTTATAAATATAAATTCTAATTTTGCGATGCATGTCTGTAATGTTGATCACCTAGATGACAGTAGTGTTTACTTTACAAGAAAAATAATGTTTTATTCCATTTTCTGTTTCATGATCTCACATGGCAGGTAAAATTTTTTTTTCATTTAAACCTCAGCATTTTTGCAAAGCAAGCAAGTCAGATTCCTGGGGCAATAGCAAAGATTTGAGGTGAGGGAAAAAAACAAAATCTGACCATGCCCTCCTAGGGGTATGTTGAAACAGTGGAGTAGTAACTGAATCACCATGCATCCATTTATTCCTTTATTCATTCAACAAACACTTAGCCAAGGGCCATGCTTATTGCATCAAGGGATAGAGAGATAAATAAAACTCCCTTTTTGTCTTCATTGTACTGGTAGCCCATAAGTTGAGATAGAGATGGAGACAAATGATTTTCTCATATGATAAGCAATGCATTATTCCAAAAAAACTAAGCACTTTGGGAATGCACAGAATACACCGTTAAATGTAACAGGAAGAGTTGGGAAAATATTCAGTAACAGTTATCATACTTGAACTGATTCTTAAAAGCATGGAGACATCAAAGCACATGTACTGCCCGAGTAAAACCACATATCCTTAGAGTTAGTTGTAGAGAGCTGAGGGAATGTGGGAGTAGTGTATGGTCTATACATAAAAGTATATTACCAAGAAAAGATACCCTTTAAGTGGTCAAAAACAACAATTGGAGTTTAGAGAGAGAAAGATTTGAGAGTCAGTTGCATAGAGAGTTGACATGTGAAGAAATGGAAATAAATAAGATTATTCAAGGGCACGGGAGAGAACTTTTAGGAACACAGAATAGAATCAACTTCTTCCTGAGACAGGAGAAAAGGAAGAGCAGGGAAAAAAACTAAGATAAGTTTAAAGATGGATATAAAGAAATTTGAGGGAGTTTATGCCTGAAAGCTTCCATTTTCTTGACACTATACTGTGAATAAGCATGGGATGCAGAATAGGAGAACACAAGTTCAAAACTCAATTCAGCCACCCACGAACAACGCGACATGGGTAGGTCACGTAACCCCTCTAAAATTTCCATTTTACCATCTGTGAAATGGAGATAATAATAACATGCAATCCATAGGTCAGAGAACTTCATAACACATGCGGAGGCACTTTATAAATTATAATGCACTTGACCAGAACACATGCTGGGTGACCTCACTGAGCTCTTGTTTATAAAACAGGGACAAGCTGGGCATGGGCACATGTGCCTGTCATCCCAGCTACTCAGGAGGCTGAAGTAGGGGGATTGCTTGAGGCCAAGAGTTCAAGATTGTAGTATGTGATGATTATTGTACCTGTAAACAGCCACTGCAGTCCACTCCGTGCAACACAGTGAGACCCTATCTCTAAAAAATCAAATAAAATAAGGATAACAGCACATAGCTTACACGGGTTACTAAGAGCATTAAAGATAAGGTATCCACCATGTGTGCTCTGTAGAAGGGAAACACTGGGTTACTGTCTTCTGTGAGTAAGAGCTTGTCTCTGGGGAAAGAGGAAAAAAATCTGCAATGGGGAAACAAGACAAGAAAGAGACATGGAACAATATTTTTGAACAGAATTAAAAGCCTATCCTGAAAACATGAGTTTGCAGGTACAGTCACACTTATGTACTCTGGAGCAATCAAAATGAATGAGTTGATGGTCTGGAGCTGGGGTAGATCAAAGCAGGTATACTAGTGGCTGAGAGCAAGTGCCATCAAGGGGACAATTGGAAATGCTGGCCATTGCACATCTCAGAAGTTTAGAGGCCCTGTTCTCTGGCCTCAGCATTTTGACAGAATGGCACCTTTCTATTCAGAGTCCTCAGCCTGTGATCCTATGACTTGTTGTTGTCAAGTAAGTGAGTGGTTTATGCAAAGGACTGAGCCGCCAGATGTCTCCAAGGTTATACGCTGTCACCATCAGCTAACCTCCATCCCTGATGCTACTGATCAGATTTAGGACAGTGGCCAGCCAGACCCCTGCCTGACCCTCCTACCTTCTCACCTCCCACCCTTGTCTCACATCCCAACTGCAGCCTATTCTCAGCCTCCCCTTCCACTTGAACTTTCATTCTTCCCTAGAACATAAGGTAGTAAAAAAGCTGTCCACCTCCTCTGAAATAGAAAGGTAAAGTTTCAGTCAACTATTAATAAAAAGGAGCCAGACTGCAAGCTACCTGCCCCTCACACCTTTAGCACCAAGTCTAAACCTCATTCCAGAATTGGCTGGTTGCAACAGGCAAGACTGCACTTCCTCCCATACTTGGAAGTGAGTTATCTCACCATCCACTAGGAAAATGTTCAGTGTCCTCTTAAAATGTTTAGTGAGCCTTGGGGACCCCAAGAGAGAGCTGCCAAGATCTATCTTGATAGTTAACTAAACTTACCTCTGAGAGAGATTTGAATTGTTAGAGCTTTCATCCTCAATTTGCCAAATGGCAGTAATAAAGGAAATATAGGCTATATCTTGCACATTATTGACTCCTATTTTAATTAATGTAAGACATATTCCTCATTTGGGAGCATGGTTGATTCACTCAGCCAATGGTTATTCATTAAGTATACCAAATGCAGGGTGCTAGCTCCTAGTCAAGATCTTTGGAGATAATGAATATAAACATCTCTCATGAATAATATTTGAAACATCCAGAAAAACCCATCCAATTAGACAAAATTCCAGGCTCCTGTGAAAAGGCAACTCCAAAGACTCATTAGGGGTTGAGAAATCCAGAGCATTTTCTTCTCTCTTCTCAGCCTTGGCTCCCAAAGCCCACTCTTCTGTGACTACCAACATGAATCACGTGAAATTCACCTCCAGGCGCCTTGCTTCCTGTCCATTTCTTTCAGTCCACTGTGGTAACCTGCTAATGTGGAGATTGCCCCATGAAACATTAACACCCCCAACCCCACAGGTGGGCCTTCCCTACACAGCATGAACCACACTAAAGTGCAGCCCTGCCTTTCCTAGGGTGGGAAGCACCAAGTAATGTGTCTGCTAATACGGTTTCAGACAGGGTGCTCTCTCCCATTCCACAAATGCACATCAGTCCTTTCTCCAAGGTGCTTTAATCTCCTAGTGTCATGCCAGCCAGCCCCCACCACACCTCTGCCCAGTGCCCTCTACAACAGAAAAAAAAAATTTTTTTTCTGTCTGGTTTGTATGCAGTCTTCATTCTAGACCTGCTCAAGAAAGCAACTTATCTCTCATTAAACACAAATGCAAAGACAAACATCTATTCATTTTATTTCTTTGACCCTAATTACACCCTCCTTCTATTTCCTCCTATAATCAACATGCCTCCCATTTCTGGGTTCTTTGTGTATGTTCTTTTACTCTGTTTCTATCCTTTATATATCTCACAGATGTGAGTAACACTTGGAATGTAGTCTTTTAGTTTATTTCTTAGAAGAACACAAGACTCACATCCATGCAGTGGCAAAGCCAACATTAGGGAGAGGTGTGCAGTGGTATGTCATTAACATGTTTTTCTCTCTTTTTTTTTTTTTTTTTGCCATGTAGTGAAACAGTGTTCAATTTGGACCAGTTCTGTGAGTCCTTGACAGCAAGAATATAGCCCAGACTAGCATCTCCGATTTGGAGATCTTGATAAATTTCAAAGCAAAATCTAAAACTTGACTCTTCTGATTCTGACTCCTGTATGTCCCTAGGCCTCCACTTACAGGGACTGAAAGAAAATACTTTTCCTCTATTTTGTAAGTGGAGAGTAATTCAGAATCATTTCTTATGGTCATTGAACTGAGAAATGTTCCTTGGAATTTCATGAAGAATATCTTGAGGCAGGGTTTATGTACCAGCAAAAGGATACACATATTCAAGGGTAATACCTTTTTACGTATTGATAGCGTAGTCTCTCCCAGAGTAGAGGGCTGCTTTTGTGCTAAACTGCAGTGCTGTGTGATTTTAAAGCTAGAGTTAATCCTCGCAGGCTACTGTGGGTCCACAAACCGGCACTTGGTGCTCTAGAGCTTTGCATTTGGTAAGCATGTTCTCCTGGGCATGGGTCCTGAAATGGGCTATTGTTTACCTGTACTCAGTGTCTTTGTCCTCATTTGGCAAAGGGAGGGAGGTACATCATATTCACAAGCACTGCAGATTGCAGAGATACAGTTCCTAAACA